AGACATTCCATAGAACCCAGAAATCCCTCTTCTGGGTATATATCCTACAGAAGAGTCATAACATGAAGAGACATGCGAGTCCCATGTTCAATACAGCACCGTTCACAGTAGCAAGAAGATGGAAATAACCCAAAGGCACACCAAGAGCAGAATGCATAAAGAAACGAGCATACAGACAATGGATACTATGCATTGCTTAAAAAAAATTTTTTTTTTAATTTAAAAAGATGAAACCATGAAGCCCCTCACGGCATGGTGGGCCTGGAAAGCAGGGAGGAGACTGAGATGAACATACTCACACCGAAGGGAACGGACGTTGGAGAGTGGAAAATGGGTAAGGAAGGGAGGGCTGACAAAGCAATGCCTTAGCACTGCGGCCAGGTATTAATTACCTCGGGTGAAATGGAAGATGGCAATCCACAGAGGGAGGAGGAAAATCAAGGAGCAAATGAAGAATAATCTGTTGAGGGGATTGATTAGTAGTTGAAACTGCTGGACACAAAGTTGATTATCTGAAATATAAAACTCATTGTCATCAATTCTGACTCATAGCAACACTGTAGGGCAGAGTGGAACTGTCCCCTTTGGGTTCACGGGGCTGTGAATCTTTGCGGGAGCAGAAAACCACATCTTTCTCCCATGGAGTGGCTGCTGGTTTCAAACTGCTGACCTTGTGGCAAGCCGCCCATATGTAACCCACTATGCACCAGGGCTTCTACTGAAATATAAACTACCACCTAATTTACCACAAAAAATTATCATCAAAAAAGAAGGGCACCTCACTTTTTTTTTTTTTTGCACATCACTTTTGTGTTATTCTTGTTGAGTGGATGCGCTCAATGTGGTCACACAAAAACAAACAGGAGGAGCATTCTACAAACTAAATGACCAGTGCTAGTGAAAGTGTCAGTAAGAAAATACCAAGGGGAGGTTATGGATTAGGGGAAGCTGAAGAAGAATAGCAATGTGCAATAAGGCAAAATTAGATTTGCTCCTGGAATAAAAAAAGGATACGAGAGAGGAAAAGAGTGAAAAACAAGGTAGGTTTGTATTGGTTGTTGTTAGATATCACTGAGGTGGTTCCGACCCATAGCGACCTTATGCACAACAGAACGAAAAACTGCCTGGTCCTGCGCCATCCTCACAATTGTTCCTGTGCCTGAGCCACTGTTTCTGCCACAGTGCCAATTTATCTCCTTGAGGGTCTTTCTCTTTTTCACTGCCCCTCTACTTTACCAAAGAGGATGTTCTTCTCCAGGGACTGGTCTCTCCTGACAACATGTCCTAAGTAGGTAAGACAAAGTCTCACCATCCTTGCCTCTAAAGAGCACTCGGGCCATTCTTCTTCCAAAACATATGGGTTTGTCCTTTTAGCAGTTCGTGGTACTTTCAATATTCTTCTCCAAAACCACAATTTAAATTCATCAGTCCTTCTTAGGTCGTTACTCAATGTCCAATTTTCACATGCATATGAGGCAATGGAAAAGACCCTGGTTTGGGTCAGGTGCACTTCAGTCCTCAAAGTAACATTCTTGCTTCTCAATCCTTTAAAGAGGTCTTGTGCAGCAGATTTCCCTAATGCAACTCATCTTTTGATTTCTTCACTACTGCTTCCATGAGCACTGATTGTGGATACAAACAGGACAAAATCCTTGACGACTTCATTACTTCATTATAGCAATGTGTCGATATTAATTTCAGTGTTTTGAACATTATACTGTGGTTATGTCAGATGTTAAAACTAGGGAAAGTTAAGTAAAGAGTTTATGGAAGCCCTGGGTAAATTTTTAACTTTTATGTAGTTCTCAAATTATTTCAAAATAAAAAGTTAAAATGTTCATGTAGATTATTCATTCATTAATTTTTTAATGTTAGCAATAATTCAGAACCCTCAATCACGACCTTTGAGATTTAGCTATACCGAACTTTTTTTGGCAGAGTAACAAAAAAGAAAAGGTTACGTTCCTCTTTAAAACCATGGTTTTGCAGCTTTCGAAGTCTGTAAGGTGTCCCCACAGCTATCCCAGCATTCCACTCACAGCTTCCTAGCAACCTCGAAGAGGGCTTGTGAAAAACAGGAATGTCCCTTCAGCCCTTAATCTTCTGTCTCAAAGGTTATTAAGTGGAAGTATTAATTAAAGCCTTTCAACATGTGCTAAACATTTATGAGAACCACATAGGTTAGCAAGAATTGTTAAAGATTTCCTTTCTCTGTTTTAATTAATTTTTTTGAAAGTGTACAGAGTTGGCAGCAAATTGAGATCAGACATTGCTTAAATTGACGTCAAGATGTACAAAGAAATGGTGGCACATTTTCCCACACTTGTGATAAAACCTATTCCAGGAAACCAGCTCCGACTTGGTGGCCAGGCACTCTAGGGAGGAGCCTGCTTGCGCTGCTACTCTACTGCCACACAGTGGCACGTGGGAGCATGGCCTCTTGCTCAGGCAACAGGCGTCCAGAGGAAGAATTGGGCCCTAAAAAGGATATTGTCTTTTCTCTGCCGAGATGTCTAGAATTTAAAGGCATAGGAGACAAGGGGGGGTCGTACAGCCTCAGCCCTACAGATACATTTAAAGAGATGCACTATAAACAGATATATGAAAAAAAAAAAAAAAAAAACAGATATATGTCCATGTTTCATATTCTTGGGATAGAACATATTAAAATAAGCACGAGGCTATGGTGATGACCACCACCAGCTTGTCAGTTTGTCACGCTGTGGTGATTTGTGTTGCTATGATGATAGAAGCTATGCTACTAGTGTTTCAGATCCCAGGCGGGTCACTCATGGTAGACAGGCTTCAGGAGTACTTATAGACTAAGGCAAAGAAGACAGACCTGGTAATCTACATCTGAAAATAAGCTACTGAAAACCTTATGAATAACAACCAAATATTGTCCAGTGTAGTGCTAGAAGATGAGGCCCCTAGATTAGAAGCAACTCAAAATATACAGTAGCCACAACAATGCACTCAAGTCTGCAAATAAGAGTAAAGACAGAGCAAGGCCAGACTAGGTTTGTTCTGGTTTACATGAGGTTACCATTATTTGGAGGCAACCTTACAGTAACTAACTACTATAAAGATGAAGTATTTTTTGCACCTCAGACTGAGAACTGCTCCAGAGACTAAACCAGTGCCACAAGATATGATAAAGATCTAGGAAATGGATCCCAGGACCTGATAGTGGGCTTACTAAGCTTACTGGGCTTACCTGCTTCGGATCAGAGGTGCTGGCACTGGCAGCTGGGGATTCCAGTTCGATGGTCACAGGCCCATCATTCTGAATGTGAACTTGCATGTAAGCACCAAACTTTCCATCTGAAAAAGCAATTTAAACCATTAAAAGAAATGGAGACACAAGATTGTACTGTCCAATAAACACACCTACATCAGGATTGACTATGCCAAGGCATTAGACTGTATAGATTGAAACAATCTACGGCTAGCCTTTAGAATGGGACTTCTATAATACTTCACAGATCAAGAGGCAGTTGTGCGAACAGAACCAGGGAATCTTACGGAGTTTAAAGTCAGAAAAGGAGTAAGTCAAGGCTGTATCCTCCCACCATACTTATTCAATCTGTGTGCTGAGCAAACCATCAGAGAAGCTGGTTACATGAAGAAGATGAGGCATCAGGCTTGGAAGAAGGCTTACTAACCACCTGTGACATACAGATGATACAACCTTGCTTGCTGAGAGTAAGGAAGACTTGAGGCACTTGCTGATAAAGATCAAGGGCATTAGCCTTCAGCATGGATTACAACTCAATGTAAAGAAGACCAAAATCCTCACAACTGGACCAACAGGTAACATGACGATAAGTGAATGAAAGATTGATGTGGGCATGGATTTCATTTTCCTGGGATCAATGTTCATGGAAGCAGTAGTCAAGAGATCAAGACACGTAGCCTTGGGTAAATCACATGCATAGAACTCTAGAGGGCTGAAAAGCAAGGGTTTTACTGTAAGGACTCAAGTGCACCTGACCCACACCATGGTATTTTCAACTGCTGAAAACGAACCAGAGCATTTGAATTGTGGTGCTGGATAATATTGACAGTACCATGGACCGTCAGGAGGACAAACAAACCTGTCTTGGAAGAAGTACGGCCAGAGTACTCCTTAGAGGCAAGGAAAATGAGACTTTGTCTTACTAGCACATGTCTTGCTTAGGAGAGACTAGTCCCTGGAGAAGGACACCATGCTTGGGAGGGGCAGTGGAGGGGAGGAAGGCCCGCAACGAGACGGTTGACACAGTGGCTGCAACGGCAGACTCAGCACAGGACCAATGGTGAGAATGGTGCTGGCTCAGGCTGTGCTTTGTTCCATTGCACACAGGGTTGCTGTAAGTCGGAACTGACTCAGTGGCACCAGACAACAAAAGATCAGGAAAATCAGACACCCATGCAGTAATACTGCCTAGTCACTGCAAGAGAAGGGGGTCAATCCTACCAGTATTGAGGGACATTTTGGTGTTGTATCAGTAATGTTCATATAAGATATAGGGAGCCTACACTAGACACTCCTGTACATGTAAACAGGGGGATCTGTTCAAGGGTTTATAAAAGAAAAAGTAGAAGCAAACTAACTGTCCCTGAGTAGAGGAACATATGGAAAAATACTACCTTAGTTATTCGATAAAACACATAGTAGCCAGTAAAATGGTTCTACGTCCTTCAACATGACTAACTTGCAAAATCACAACATAATCTTTAAAAAGTGTTATTCCATTGAATTGTATGCTATGTGGATGAAGTGCCAATAAAACTGTTCAAATGAATAGATGGATGGATGGATGATAGATAGACAAACAGACAGATAGATAGTAAATAGACAGATGGAGAGAGAGTTTTTGTTTCATCCCTGTTGGTAATGTGTTGGCAGGCTAATGAAATAGCAGTTCAAAACCACCAGCCACCTTACAGGCTTTTTACTCCTGTAAAAAGTTATAGGCTCAGCTAATAACAGTAATACAAGGAAGAAGAAAATGTTCTAAAATTGATTGTGGTGATATTGTACAACTTTTTTATATGCTTGAACTATTGGATTGTATAATGTGTGGATTATGTGCCAATAAAACTGTTTTTGAAAAACAAAAGAGTTAGTCTTGGAAACCCACCAGAACAGTTCGATCCTGTCCTATGGAGTTGCTATGAATCAGAATTGCCTCAAGGGCAGGAAGTTTGGTTTTGGTTCATAATGAAATTTTTTAACAAATTAAATCTTAGAGGGAATGAAAGCTTAGAAGGGTCCCCAAAAGAGAAACTCATAAAATTACTACTCCTTGGTTGTAAAGTTTGGGGAGAGGGAGTTCGATCCCCTCGTTGGTAGAGTCAAAAGCAGATTACCCTACAGAAGCCACCACAGGGAGGGGCAGCTGAGCAGACACCTTGCATCTCAGCAAGAAGAGATGCCTAGTGGAGGGCACAGGGTCCAAGATACTTGTCTTCCCCTGCCCTGTGCATCACCTATGCTGGGTGAGTTGGCAGAACCATACTGCTCCCCAGACTGCACGGTCAAAGCAGCCACTGCGCTGCCCCAACAGAGAGGCTCACTCTATCTCTGAGAAAGAGCTCCAAACCTCCTGTTTTGATACCCAACCCACTCATTTGTTTCAGCTTGAGTCCCAAATGCTGAATGACATCTATAACTGTAATAAAGCCAAAAATACATATGCTTAAAGAAACAGTGTCACAGATTAATCAGAACTTCTCTGTTAAGTGCTAGGTCTAAACATGCTAATGGTATATGCTATGATAAAGAATACATTGTTCCTGACAACTAATCCAATTAGCTTGTATACCATCTCTGATAAAATAATTTGTCTAATCAGAAATTAAGGTAAGATTAGTCTGTCCTCGCTACTAAGGAGCAAAGAGACCATATGAAATCTAATCCATATTTGGAAACCACTCGTTTCTCACTCATAGTTGGTAACTATGGGTCCAATGCAGCGCAAGATACCAAAGACCAACTCTAAGGTCCAGATAGACAGTCCTGGCTTGCTCTCATGAGACCACAATCTAGTGTGGAGTGGCATGTCATGGTGACTGGACAGCATGTTGGTGATGAAGCCAGACTCTGGCCGTGGAGGGCAGAAAAGGGTCGCTGTCCCTAGCCTAGGGGTGGGAAAGAATCAGAACCTAACTCATGGTGAAAATTAAGGAAGTCAGTACATGGCAATTAAGTGAGGCGAAGGCTAGCCTCTGGTGGTACAAAATCAGAATTCAAATTCAACAGGGTCCCTACTAGCAAAATAACACTGCCCTAACTGTGCCTGGCCAAGTGCGCACTCTACACTTTTGGAAATCGCGCTTATTATCATTCTCCCTGTAGAATCACGATGTACAGTAACATGTACGGTTCTCAGGGCATTCCTAAGTATAGAAACCTATTCTGTTTTTTTCTCACTCATTTCACATGAACATCCCCGCACCATGAGGATGATCCTCTGGGAGAAGGTGACGAGAAAAGCAGGGAGTGGGCCCACCAATGCCAAGAGGGGCCAGGGAATGCTGCAGCCCCTCCTTATGCCTGCGAACAACTTGGAGGTGGACTCTGTTCCCAAGTTTGATGACTTGTCCAGGCCTCATACTTGGGGTTTCCTTGGACATCTGAACTAATTTACTAATTTAATTAATTCGTGTCCCTGATCCCTGCCACTATAATTTCCACCTCAGATTCTTCTACACTGGCAGTCACTCCCTTCCAGTGACCCTTAACCTCAAGGAGGGCTATAGCAAAATGGGTACACCCATGGAAAAAAGCACTGTAAATTGTATAGAAAGTACCCAACTGTTTACATTTTTATAAACATGATTGGTCTAATTTCTACTAGGTAGTCAAACATGTTCACATAATGATAACCTCCCATGAAATGAAAGTTGTTCAAATAAATTGAGCTCTCCATTTTATCCATGTCAGCCTAGCTAAAAATATATCAGCTAGGAATGAAAACCCTGTGCTTAATTACATGCTAAAATTATGGCTACAATTAGTAGTGAATTTTAGCACTGCACTCCACAGGGAACTGAAGGCAGATTCAGGAGGAAAGAAGTTATTTCTGACCTTGAATTCCTGTGCCAGGATTTATAGCCTATGTTTCACCATGTTAGTCATTCCAAATAGCAAGAAATACATTTTCTTTTCCTCAGTTCAGAACAGAACTATTATCTGAATTTCCAATTGAAATTATCCAAAGAAATGTTTTAAAAAGCCTTAACAAGGGATCATTTTTTTTCCAGTCCAGATCTTTATTCCAGTCTTGGAATAAAACTTCCAAGAAAAATTTTATTGGAAAATAATTTTCTAAATAATTTCAAAAGGTAAAAACATTTTACAAAACTATATCTGGAGTCCTACAGTAATGTAATCACATTGTTCTTAAATGTAAGTTCTAAGACGGCATCAGGGCTGACAGTTCAGCATGCATCAGATGTGTTTATGCAACATACTGCAAGCGAGAGAAGGCCTAATTGGAGCCAAACCCCACAGGAAAAACTCTCGAGCTCTCCAGCTCTCATAGGCCTCGGTTCTGGGATACTTTTGAAATGCTTGACTGCCTTGATAGAAAAACACCAGGAAGACCCCGACACTTAAGAGAGACAATCCAGGGAGGCTGGCAAGATGCAGTCAATTACTTAATATGGCCCTTCTAAAATTGATTAAAAATATATATATATATGGCCCTTCTAGCCATAATTCCTTTTGTGATGTATTATCAATTCCAGCCTCAATGCTTGTGGTTATAATTCTATTTTGGAGGGATTTCAGTGTTAAAAGATGAAAATTGGACATAGTCTAAGTGTCCATCATACAAATCACCACCCTTTGTTTCTTTGAGGATCTGTCTACGGAAAGACAAAAAGCAGGCACCTCCATCAAAGCCTTCCTTTGGGAATCTCTGCTTCCTGTCTGAGCGTGGGTAGAAGCAAGAAAACATGCTTTATCTTTTGGACATTTTTGGCTTTTTCTCTGGACTCTCCATGTAGCTAGCCTCTGCCTAACCCTCTGGTTCTTAAAACTTGAGTTGTGGTTTATCACCTGACCTGATTTCACCAGCTTCCATAGCCTGTGGATGAGGGGGACCCTACAGACAGATGACTGAACTTCATAGCTGGGCCTTTAACAGCACCCACAACCACATGAGCCATTTCCTTAGAGCTCTGTAAGTGCTGTGAGCATTGCAATGCATTGCAACACCCAGAGACATAGGAAAATACACTAAGCCAGTGGTTCTCAACCTTAACGCTGCGACCCTTTAATACAGTTCCTTATGTTATGGTGACCCCCCAACCATAAAATTATTTTTGTTGCTACTTCATAATTATAATTTTGCTACTGCTATGAATCGGGCGACCCCTGTGAAAGGGTCATTCGACCCCCAAAGGGGTTGTGACCCACAAGTTGAGAACCGCTGTACTAAAGGGAGGAGTGGTAATGTCTTCAAAAATGTATAACATCTTTGAAAAGTTAGACACTGGAACAACCAAGATGAGGTTCCTAAGCCATCCTTCGGGTCTTACCCCTACAGCTCCATTTCAAGCTAAACAATAGCCAGGCCTTTAAGGGGGAACAATAACACTAGTGAGCTATGCACAACTTAGACTAAGCAACCATTTGAAATCAACGGGGCAGCATTTACCAAAGTTTAATTTCAGTAGGGTTAAGAAAGATGGATAAATAGCAACGTGAAACACAGGAAAGAATGGGATAAGTGATCGGGCAGACTGCAATGAATGGGCTAACACAAACTGTATGAATTGTTAAATGTAAAACCAATGATCTGCTCTGTAAACCTTCACCCAATTCACAACAAAAAAAATTTTTTAATTGCTGATGAGTCGAGGCAAACTATCAGAGATGCTAAAGGGAAGATAAAACTGCACTATATTATTTCCAAGACGATAATCATTAAGGGAACAGACTGTCAAATGTTTCTCCCACAGAGTGGCTAGTAGTTTCCAATCACCCAACCTGTGTTTAGCAGCTAAGCATCTAACCACTATTCCCATAAAGAGCTACAGCCTCGGAAACTCACTGGAGCTGTTCCACTCTTGTCCTACAGTCGCTGTGAGTCAGAATCAACCCAATGGCAGTGAGGGAGTTATTATTATCGCATTGTCTACGGCAGCATAAGAGCAAACAGTGGGCTGGCAGAGGGTGGGGGTGGAACAGAAAAACATAACAATCAAAAGGGCATGCTACTGAAGGAAAATTGGAGGTTGTGGGGACAGAAGGTGCCTCACACCATTACTTCTTTACTATATTGGAAACAGGCTCACTCCTGGAAGCCATTCCCAAACTGCTCAATAGCCTGGGACTCAGCATCCCTCTGGAGTCTACAAGTACACCCAGACTCCATTCAACATTTAAGGCCATGAAAGAAACTGGAACACTAGTTTCCTCTCTTGCTCTCTGGTTGATCTGCAAGTCAGTACGCTTTAGGAAGCCACATCCTCAGAGAGGCATGTGTCTTAGACCTAGAAACCTCCATCGCCAGAGGCACTGGGGCTGGAGACTAAACAGCCTATTCACCAGAGAAGGCAGATATCTAGTCACCAAGAAGCCCACTCCAATTCTAAACCAAAGAACCAAAGACGTGAGGCTCTAAGGTGCCACGAAGATGGCAAATGTCTAAGATAAAAACTGAACCTCCCGCTGAAGGGTAAATTCCCAACTGAGCTAAAGTTCTAAAGTCATGAATCCAAGACTTGATGCAGAGCTTCTCACAGGATGGGAGGCCAAGGTATTGAGGGATTAGGTATCAAAGACCCAGAACAAAAAATTGTTATCAATGTGAATGAGGGGGGGTGCAGAATGAAGACCCAAAGCCCATTTGTAGACAATTGGACAACCCCTTAAAGAAGGATCACAAGGAAAAGATGAGCCAGTCAGGGTGCAGTATAGCACCGATGAAACATACAACTTTCCTCTAGTTCTTTAATGCTTCCTCCCCCCACTATCATGACCCCAATTCTACATTACAAATCTGGCTAGACCAGAGCATGTACACTGGTACAGACAAGAGCTGGAAACACAGAGAATCCGGGACAGATAAACCCCTCAGGGCCAATGAAAGTAGCAATACCAGGAGGGGAAGGGAAGGTGGGGGGACAAAGGGGGAACGGATCACAATGATCTACATATAACCCCCTCTCAGTGGGTCGGACAACAGAAAAGTGGGTGACGGGAGTCATTGGTCAGTGTCAGGCATGAAAAAAAAATTTATAAATTATCAATCAAGGGTTCATGAGGGGGGGTGGGAATGAGCTGCTACCAAGAGCTCAAGCAGAAAGAAAATATTTTGAAAATGATGATGGCAACATATGTACAAATGTGCTTGACACAATAGATGGATGTATGGATTGTGATAAGAGTTGTACAAGCCCCCAATAAAATGATTTAAAAAGAAAAGAAATAGGAACTGGCTTATTGGGGATAGGGAGGGAGGTTAGAAGGAAATGGAGTGCTAACAATGAATACAAGAAGGAAGAAAATGCTCTAGAACTGGTTGTAGTGATACTTATACAACTCTTTTTAACATGAATGAACTATGGAGTGTATGATATATAAATTATATCTCACTAAAATTCTTACAAAAGAGGAAAAAAGGCAATCAAGACAAAGGCAGCCTTCTGTTCTCAAATCATATAATCTAATCAAGTTTCCCAAGCAACAAGGGAGTGTGCCTGCCTAGTGTTCATGAGCCATATACCACCTTATGTGTACATCTTATAAATCACTTCAACAGGGGAGGCCTCATCTCAGCTGGGTCAGTTTATCACTATCTTCTACCATACAACATTGTTAAATCAACATATATTCCTACAAGAGTGATAAGTGAACCTTACTGGAAATCCAAGTAAGTGGTGGCAGCGAGGTGGGGGCATGTCTGTCTTGGAGAAGGCGTACAATTCTGCTTATAGGTAAACAGGGTGGGGGAGTCTGCCATTGGGAAAAAAACGCTTAACATTAAGTGTATAGACCCCCACTGGTAGAATTTATGTTGCTAATTGGAAACTTTTGACCTAGTTTCTATCCAGCCCTTGATAACCCAGGCCATATGTTATAGACAACCAGGACTTTAGACTCTGTCTTTTCTGGGTACACAACATCCTTCATAGACCACACTAGAAAAATCCAATTTGGAAGTCCCACTAAAGAAACTGGACTTTATCTTAAACTCATCTGTAGCAGATTTATGGAACTTTGGCTTAAGGCTGAAACACTGTAGTGAGAAGAAGACGACTACTACAATGGAAGTCATTGGACTTGGGTTCAAATCTCTTCTTTTGAGGGTGCCCCATAAACGGCAACTCAAGACTACCATATAGTTGCTGTTTTCATACGCTCTTTGCTTTCTAATGACATGTCTTAGTGCAGCAGGCATTTGTGAATGAGCACTATTCCGTTTTCTCGATCTTCAATTCTTATTGTTCGTGTAAGTAGTGCCCAGTCATTTCATACTTTAATCTGCACAAATAAACAATGCTTGTATTTGTTCCCACTTCTGAATGTTTAAAAGCTGTAACAGTTTAAAAAACAAAACAAAAAGTGAAGGGTAAATACATGTGGAGTAAACCTCCGGTGAATTCATCCTGAACTCTGATCAGGGAACTGAACAGCCTTGCTATTGTGCAGAGAGCATTATTGCAAATGTCGTTAGTTAAAATTTAACACCTTATCATTTGATCTCCCTTTTTACCTATTTTAAAGTTTTTCTAATATTTTTCTGCTTTCTTTGCTACTGAGGCTTTTCTCTATTTTATTTTTGTTGTTAGCTTTTTTGCTTCTTTGTTTTTTATTTTTATATATTTTTTATGTCTGAAATCCAGGATGGTTGACTCTACAGAGACAGTAACTGATTAAGGGGCATAGCAGGGGAAGTTGGAGAAAAATGGGGAGGTAATAACAAGAAACACAAAGAAAGAAGAAAATGTTCTAAATTTAATTTTTGTAACGAATGTACAACTCTTCTTGATATGATTGAACTATTGAATTGTATATGTGGATTATGTCCCAATAAAAATGATAACAGAACTGATTCAAGAGGACCTAACAACAACAACACTATTATATTCTGTTCCTTTTCACTCTTTCATGTGGCTACTAGAAACGCTTACATAACATAAACCGCTTGCATTTGTGGCTCACACTGTATATTCAGTGAATAGGACTAACCTAAGCAGCCAACAAAATAATACTACATAAGATATACTCCTGGATTCCTAAAAAAAATTTAAGTGAAGAAGGATAAACATCAGGAAAAATAATAAGCCTAAACAATAGTTTATAAAGGATATTATCTTTCTCTGTGCCTGGGAGTGTACAAAGACCCCTTCCTGGACATGAACTCACTCTCCTGCCTACCTTTTATGAGCTCTGGTCTGTATACCTTCCGCAGCTGCTCCAGGAAGCTGTCATAAAACCCCTCAGCCTGTTCAGTAGGCATAGCCAGGTGGAAGTCTGGCTTGTTCCCCTTGAGGATGCACTGGAGGGTGAACTGGCTGACACAAAGCACCTCATACTGCTTGTCCATCACACTCTTTGACCACTGCTTCCCGCTCTCATCTTCAAACACACGTAGGTTTAAAATCTTGCGGGCCCTGCAGTGAAAAGCAGCAATGAGAACAACCTAAAGAAACATGAACCCCACCACCACCACACCCTACACCTACAATGAGCAGTAAAAAACATCCAGCCAGATATGGAGAGAATGCTGACTCCATGATTTAATAGAAAGCCTGGGTTTGGGCAAAGTACTTAACTACTTCATGCCTCAGTTTTCTCATCTGTAATAGAGGAGTAATTATAAGCCTATACCATAAGGTTGATTTGGATTTCCTGGTACTGCAGTGGTTGGGTCCTGGGCAGCTAACCGTCCATCCAGTATTTATAAATCACCAGCTGCTTCGTGGGAGAAAGAGGAGGCTTTGTACTCCTATAATGAATTCCAGTCTCAGAAATTCACAGCGACAGTTCTGCCCTATCCTATAGGAGCACTATGAGTGAGAATTGGCTCGATGACAATGATTGTTTTTTTCTTTTTGAGTTTTCCTTTTCTGGCAGTCCTTCCAATTCACAGGACCTACTGGTGGGAAGGAAAGGCCAGGGCAGGGGCTTCTTCCTGCCAAGAGAATGGACCCTCTGCTTGCTAGGAATGAACATTGTTTGTGAATGAAGTAAGCATTCACTAGCCAGGAAAATAAGAAATGGGTCTGGAAATGTCAACCTTGGTGACTGTCTCAACGTTGAGGTCAGGCTGGGTGGGCATCCCAAATTTATAACCTGATATAAGACTCAAGACATCCTGACGCGGAATTGTAGCCTAAGATAAGGACGAACTTAGTAACTAGAAAGGGGCTTCTGAAGAGTACTGGTCCCCCTCCCTTTGAAAGTGCCCTTTAAAAACAAGAAGCCATGCCCCTAGACAATGTCCTTCTCTTCTCTCACCTTGTGAGGGGGACCCACTTCACTCTCAAAATATATCTAATCTAAGGTGTCCTCACCTAAGTCCATGCTGTGGTGTGCATGTGAGTATGTAAACTTGGCTATCTGGCTCCTTACAAATCACACGGGTAGAACTTGCTTGTTCCCCTGTGGGCAACAACCAAGTAATATGCAGATTCTGCCATTCTCCTGCGGACCGAAGGTCACATCTTGGGAACAGCCACGACAGAAAATTGTTTGTGTGGTTTCAGGTTTGTGTGGTTCCAGAGGTAAGCCACTAGGGAAATAAACCTCCCCATTGCATGTCTTTATACTTTATATTTTGTTTTGATCTGTGTTCTCTCATTTTCTCTTGCTCTCTCTCTCTCCAGCGCCCCTAGGTCAAAAGAAGAAGCAGCACTCGTGTACTGTCAAAATAATAAAACACTTAATTAGACTGTTTATAAGTCCCAATATCCACGATCCAAAAATAGTCAGTTAAGGTGCATCCCCAGGTCAAGTCAGTTGGCCACTGCTGGCTCTCAGCACTCCTCTCTCAGGGGAAAGTGAACTCTGAGACATGTAGTAAGGGTGAGGCAGGCTCCAGGAGTAACATCCAAAGTCCACATACCAAACAAGCAGCACACGATCTAACCCACTACATGGATCCCCTGAGAGGAGATAAGAGACTTTTGCCTTTTCAAATTTCTGCTGAAGCGGAAACTTCTCTTGTCTTAATTTTTCTTAGATTTTTTCTATTTGTTCATCAGTTTCTGTCTACGCGTTACCCTACCAATCCTATGAGTAGGGTACCCTACCAGTTACCAAGACCGCCAGCGAGAGAATCTCTGTTACTATACATCTCTGAATTTTGTAATGGATTACTGGTTGTCTTTGGGGCTATTATTCTGGAGGGCTCTGTCAGAAGCCTTCAAAGCTTTGTTTGAGGCATTGATGAGCTCTCCCACTGAAAGTCTTCACACTCTACAAATGTCCATTTTCATTAAAATCTTGAAAGAATTTGCCTGTACCTGGTCTAATTGTTTTTCTATAGCTCAAGGCATGGCCTTACATACATCAACTACAAAGCACCTGATAATAGACTATCAATTATGGAAATCCGAGGAAGGCAAATCCCAGTTAAGGGGCTTGTGTGGCAGATGTAGACGTTTATTTGCCTCCTCTAATTAGAGGGAGAAGAAGTGAAGGGTTACAGGAGCTGTCTGGGCTGTACCCAGCAGTTCCTGCCTGGGCCAAAGGGGCAGCCCTCCCCAGAGAAAAGGGAAGCTACCAGGGAGACACCCCTAGGTACCTTCAAGGGTTGATTTTGTAGTGTAGTCCCATCCCTGGGATGCTGGTACCTGACATTCAACCACCTCGTTCTTTTTGTTATATTACTTAATAGAAATGAGGCAGAAAACATCAGTGCCTAAACACAGCCCTTTGGGATGTCTGTTGACCACTGGAAACCTAGAATTATCTTTAGACAGTCTGAAGCAGGAAACGTCCTTTATATCAACTCAGAGATTCTGAGGTCTGGGGTTACAATACCATCTTGCAGTTAGACTTGTCTTCCCAAAAAAAGGCAAATGGAAAGAAGTGCCTTATGCACAGGCCTTCATGGACCTTAGAGAGCACAAAGGAAAACCAAATTTTCCCTAGCCAGTAAATCCCCTGAGAAACACCCCCTTTGAGGCACAGTACCAAAGCTGAGCACCAAGAACACCTGATCACCAAGGCTGTTTCTAGGCAGCAACTGTGGGATGGCCTTGGATGAGCAGTTCACAGAGAGCTTCAAGTCAGTGCAGGTGCTCCAAGTCTGTCAGTAGGAGGGGCTAGAACCAAAAAAAAAAAAGATATCCAAATGCTAGTAGCCACAGGCACCTCGCCCTCCTCTGTTTTGTGTTGAACAGAAATGGAAACTCAAGTGAGCAGAGGAAAGGGCTGTTGGAGGCTCACATGCAGACCTGCCTTATAGAACAAATGAAGGACATTCACATTAAACCTGTGACTATTTCAAATTAACTAAGGTGCTCTGGAGCAAGAACGAAAGCCTGGCAGTTTTCAGAAACCGTCTTGTAGAGATAATTCAAATAGTTACCAATATGGATCCAGAGACACTTGATGAGAAAGTTGTTTTGAATATCCATTTAATGAATTAGTCTACTGGAGATATTGAAAGGAAACTCCAGTGTCATGCTACGGGAGCCCAGCGTAACCCACAGGAGCGCCTATCCACAGCTACCTTCGTATAAGACAACCAGGATACAGAGGAACAAAAGAAAGAACACACACACCACACACGCACACAGTTATTGGAGCTGCTATTACAGCCCATGTCAACTCTAGAGCTGCACAGCGTGGTGACTCAGCTCATCCCACATGACCCTGACCAGTCTGCTATGTCTGTGGGAAGCCTGGTCAAGTCCATCGTGAATGAAGCCCCACTCCACAGTTCTAGTGTAGGACTCCAAGACACAGAACTTGTGAGTGCCCCAAGTGAGTCTTGGTGGCAACAGATCCTGTTGACTGATGAGGTCCAAAATCCCCGACTCCTTTCAACACCACCATTGACATCAAACTCAAGGACCTGTGGGTATGTGTAGACACTGCTGGTCAGTATGCCTGCATCTTGATGTACTCAGGAGCTACTTATCTCGTACTAAAATCTCTGGGTGGCCTTCTGACATCCTCCTACCTCCATGCTATTGGCATTAACAGGCTGCCAACTAAGAGATTCCTTACACACAGCTGCTCTGCCTTTGGGAGGGCTCTTTCTTTTCACATCAGTTGTTGGTTGTTTCTGAATCTCCAGGTGCTCTTTTAGAATGAAGTCTTTTTTTTTTTTTAACTTAAATTAGGAGCTCAGATGACTTTTACCCTGGAACCTAGCAGCTATCAAGTAATAAAGTCTCAGAGGGCGCAAATTTCCCACCGGACCTTCATGACATTGACTCTGAGGTTTGGGCAATGGGAAGCCTGCAAAAGCTGTCAATGTAGAGCCAGTAATCATTAAACTGAAACCTGGGGCAAGCTACCCTAACAGACGTCAACATAGGTTTTTACTTCAAGAAATCAAAGTTCTTGCTCCCATTATATGCCACCAATTTAAAGAGGCGGACATGATTGTAGCAAGCCCAACTCTATATTATATTCCCATTTTAGCAGCCCAAAAGCAAATTGGAAATGGAGGCCAGTACAGGACCTGAGAGCAACCAATGAGATAGTGGCACTTTCAGAGATCACTAGCATCTGAGTAAAGGGCTTATGGTAAATCTTTCTCTGCTCTTTAGTTCAGTAGAGACAAGCTGCACAAATCCACACATCCCAGTTTCAGTTTCTGAATCTGCTCTTACCCCTTCTAGAGCCCTTGCTTTTGATACTACTACTCATACTGATTTTTGGCCTATGCCTGCCTGTTTAACACCCGACTAAGTTTATGCCTCCCAGGCTTCAGCAGTTCCACATAAAAATGATGATTATGGAAAAATATCAGCCAATTCCTTTGTGTAGCATCCATCAGGATGCTGCAAACAGACCCTTGCTCAAACCAATTACAGAGCACCTTCTGATGCCAAGTCATTCCCTCTTCCCTTTTGAACGCTTACACAAAACAGCCTGACTTTATCATATGGAGACCTCTACCGGTGTACGAGGTTCCCTGTGTTAATTAGCTGTCCAGTTTTGTCTCCTCAGGCAGTCATGACCCCAGTGGTGGCTTGAAAATAAAGCCACAGTTAAAAGCTAACATTGGGCAACGTCATCTTTCAGCTTCCACAAAAGAGACCTGTTTGCTGTTTGATGATTCATTTTTCCCTAGCAGGTAGACAGTTAAAGAATAGGCACAGGAAGAGAGTAGTCTTGAGGGGCCATAGCGCCCCCTTTCAGCAAGAAGTCAAATTGGTCTTTGCCCCTTTACCTGAAAGAAGTCAGTCTAGCTCTCTTCAGGGAGGAATGACAGAAATAGGACAGGGGTTTCTGCCCGCCAAGGAAATGATCTCTGCTTTCTCAGAAGGATAATTATGTTTGCTAAGGAAATGGACCCTCTGCTTGCTTGGAATGAACATTTTTTTTGTTAAGAGAGTAAGCATTTTGCTGGGTAGATGTAAAAAAATTTTTTAAATGGGCCTGGAGACACCAACCCTAGTAATGTCTCAATGTTGAGGTCTGGCTGGGGGGCATCCCAAGATGCTTACCCAATTTTATAGCCTGAAATGACTCATGACATCCCGATACAGAATTGTAGCCTGAGATAAATTAGAAATATGTAGAAGACCCAAGGATGAACTTAGTAGCTAATTAGAAATTGACTTTTGCGGAGCTTTGATCCTCCTCCCTTTGAAAGTGCCCTTTTAAAACAAGGACCGTTCCCCGAGACAACGTCCTCCTCCTCTCTCGCCTCATGAGAGGGACCTGCTTCACCCTTAGGTGTATCATATGTATGCTTAAGGTGTCCTTCTCACCTTGCGAGGGGAACCTGCTTCATCTCTTCTGAAGTGAACCTGTTTAAATAAGCCTTTGGCTTAACAGTTTACTATGGTGTGCTTGTGAGTGTGTGAGCACAGCTTATCCTTGACTCCTTACAATCACACAGGTAGACTCGCTGGTTCCCTGGACGACAACCTGGAGTATCTGCAGGGCCTGGCATTCCCCTCCGGGACTGAATGTCACAGGAACTGGCGTGACGATGGCAATCTGTTCAAGTTGAGGATATTTCAAAGCATGGTTCAAATGCGAATTTTTTAGAAAAGAATTCATTCTGTGCACTGGAATAAAGGGCAGCCTATTTTTATATATCTTCTAGAAATAATCCAAAATGAAAAATTCAGCATATACCCTGAGATATTGCCCATCACTGCAAATACGCAAAGGAATCCAAGCAAAGATACCTTGACAACTATGGCAAATGCTCTTTAACCTCATGGGTGTTTGCTCTATATTTGTGAATAACAAAGGATAGACACCCGGACAAGAAGTGAACCAGGTGAGGTATAGAGGGTCAGATCTGAGAAGCACAGTAAAGAACCATCTACATGAAAGCTGATATTCCTCCATTTGAGAGCCACCCTCTACCATGGTGTTGAAGACAAAGTTAACACTCCCAGTGGGCTTCCTGTGGGTCAAAGTTCTAAAAGCTCTATAATCACGAATTAATGGGACCCTTACAAAATTACCCTAAGTAGTGGGTTTATCTTACGTTGTCATCTCTCATTTCCACCAAATGAAGAGTTAACTTCTTATATCGGGGCCACAAAAAGACTCAGACCTGGAATTCAGTTTTTAACACTGTGCCATGTTACGAGGAGCCCAGAAGACATATTGGGCTCCAAACTGAACTGCTAACTGAAAGGTCAGTGGTTCGAGCCCACCAGTTACTCCAAGAGAGAAAGATGAGACTTTCTGTTCCTGTCAATATTTACAACCTCAGAACTCTATGGAGTTCTAATCCATCATATATGGTGGCTATCATTCAGAGTCAATTCGAAGACAGTGGGTTGGGGTTGGAGCTGGTTGGGTTTGGTTATACCCCTTGATGGCCTCTTGGGTATCCAGGGGAGAAACATTTAAATTTAAACATCTGAGGTGGTACTGAATTGTCATTACCAGTCATCAATACCTTAGCAGGAATTAGATCTGAGTCTAATTCTTACCATCATTCAAAAGAGACAATAGCAAAGTAGAAAATGCTTATAAGAAAAGATAAGACTTCATAGGCTATACCCAGGCTCTGGGTATCAAGGATTAAAATAAAACAATCTAAGGATCTGAAGTAAACCGGTCAAGTGGAGGGGGATATCAGAGAAGGGGCTGAGTGTACAAAGAGGTCCCGTAAGGCAGCAGCAAAAGGAAGCTCCCCTAACTCAGTAAAAAGAGCAGTGGCTTCAGGGTCAGATCACTTAGATTCTATCTGTTCTCAAGCTTTATACTAAGTGTCTGTATGTATGACTTTGGGCGTGTAATCTAACCTCTCTGAGCATCAGGTAATATGCGTACAATGGAAAACCAGGCATTTAAAAATGCATAAATAATGCCCAGATTATATTGCACAAATTGTAAAACAAATCATATGTAAAAAGAAAATAAGACTCCTTTTTGTGCTAAAAGAGAAAGAGGCCTATTTCACAATGAAGCAGCAAGTCAGGGTAGCTGGGAAGTTAGCCTTCTGCTCCATGGCTGACCAAGTGGGTGACCTAAGAGCCCTTTTCTTCAGACTCTAGAACACGAAGATAACCATCCTACATCAAATAGAGCATTGATACAGGCACAAGATAGTGTGAACATGTCCAGTGCGGCCACTCTGGATACCATTAATATAACATTAATGTAGAAATATATATCTTACATGTGCTCCAATTCTTTCTGCGTATCTTCAAGAGAAATGCCCAGCAACACACAAAGGCCTTGCCCAATGGCACTGATCTGCTGTCCTCCAACTAGAAATAAACGAAGTAGAAAAAAAAAAAATTAAACAGACACCATAAGCATTTTTTGTCCCAGCAGTTTTATTGGCATATAATTCACATTCATACAATTCAATAGTTCAATCACATCAAGAAGAGTTATACAATCATCACCAGAATCAGTTTTAGACATTTTCTTCATTCTTGTACTCATTGTTATTAGCGGTCTCCCCAAGGAATCATTAATCCAATTAGTGTCTCGATAGATTTACCCATCCTGGATTTCATATACAGAAACAGATTTTTTAAATTAACAAGAAGATTTCCAATTGCTTACAGATTGGCTTTGGGCCTCCACTCCGCACTCCTCCCCTCATTCACATTATGATTTTTGGGGAGAAACGGGCCAGTCAGGATGCAGTATAGCACTGATGAAACATACAACTTTTCTCTGGTTCTTTAATGCTTCCTCCCCACCACTCTCATGACCCTAATTCTACCTTACAAATCTGGCCAGACCAGAGCATGTACATGGGTACAGATAAGAGCTGGAAACACAGGGAATACAGGACATATAAACTCCTCAGGACCAATCTTGAGAGTAGCCATACCAGGAGGGGAAGGGGAAGGTAGGAGGAGAAAGGGGGAACCAATCACAATGACCTACTTATAACCCCCTCCCAGGAGGGTGGACAACAGACAAGGGCGTAAAGGGAGACATCAAACATTGAAAGACATGGAAAAATAATAATAATTTATAAATTATCAAGGGTTCATGAAAGAGGGAGGGACGGGAAGGGAGGGAAAAAATGAGGAGCTGATACCAAGGGCTCAAGTAGAAAAAAAAATGCTTTGAAAAAAATGATGGCAACATATGTACAAATGTGCTGAGACAATGGGTGTATGTATGGATTGTGATGAGTTGTATGAGCCTCCAATAAAATGATTTAAAAAGAAAAAAATTAACAAGAATAACAAGGTAAAACAGATAAAAACCTCAGTAGAAAAGAAAGCAGAAATATTAAAAACTAGAACAAGTTTAAATGGATCATAAGGAAGATCAAATGATAGGGAGCTAAATTTTACCTAACTGCATAATCAACAATCCACTTTCCCCTGCATTCTGCGCGATAGCAAGGTTATTCATCCCTGGTCCATGTTCGGAGAGAAGTCACCAAGGGTTTAGGGGTTAATTCATATGTATTACCCCTTCACTTGAAAAAAAAACTGAAACAGCTTTATTTTAATCTAACTACATATGTGTGCCATAATCAACTTTACAATGCTGTCTGGTAACAAAGTTATTCACATCCTCAACTACAATTGGAGAGGACTCACATGTGAGGACTTTGAAAATGAAATTTGGGCTTGCACTGTCATCCATAGCCTTCCACAAACCAAGTGTTCATAATTTAAGTTCTGATACTATTCCCTCCTTTGGATTTGGATTTTACTACTTACAATCCTTGGATCACACAGGCTGGTGTTATTCCATGTGGACTTAGTTGATGCCTCACTTAGATGACTGCTTGATTGAAGACAAGCTTTTAAGACTCCAGATGCTATTCTCTCTGGTAGCCGGGCACCATCTAATTCTTTACCACATTTTCCACAGCACCCGTATTGTTAGAGATCTCTTCATGAAGTCGAGCATCAGGCAGCGCCATGTTGTAAGAACTAACTCTTTGTCGATTACAGCTATAATTAAGTTCTAGCCCAAAATCTATTATGTATCTATGGTTTATACATGTCTCTGGTTCACCTTAGAGACATCGTTGCTATTTTATGTTAGAGAACATTACGAATCATTGCCCTGGGAATCGCTTCCACTGCCATCAAGTCAATGCTAACTCATAGGGCAGAAGAGAACTTCCCCATGGATCTCTGAGCCTGAACATTTTCACAGGAGTAAAAAGCCTCACCCTTCCCCTGCAGAGCTGACTGGTGGTTTTGAACTGCTGACCAATAGGTAACCAGTAGGCATTGATAGTGTCATTAGTTTAGCCAATGATATAGAATTTAAAATACTACTGGGAAAAGGAAATTATATGAGTATTGGCCAGCTATTAACCACAATACATGAATTGTTGACTTGTATAGATTAAACTCTTAAGTGACTGGACACTATTTACACAAACGGAGGTTGGTGGTAGAGTAAACCTTCCAATAATATTCATTCACAACAGCAGCACCACATCTACCAGATTAATATATGTCATAATGAAGCAAGGAGGGCATTAAAATAGTAAGTATATAGTAGTTCTGGTGCGCCATTTATTGGACACACTCAAAGCAAAAGATTCTAACAAAAGTCCAACATTCATCAGTTCTATTCCTTTGGGCTAGCAGGCATCTGCTCCTTCTCACATCAGGGAGTTTCAGCCTTAAATCCAATGGCTATACAAGGGAGTTCACTTAGTGGGGTTTTCCACATTGAGTCCTTCTGGTGTGGCCTACGAAGGATGTTGTGTGCCTCGAAAGAACAGAGTCTAAAGTTCCAGTAGTCTATAGCACATGAACTGATTCACTTTTTAAGGGCTACATGAAAACTAAGTCAAAGTATCCAATTAGCAACCAAGTACTAAGCATATTCTCCACGTGGGTTCCACATAGGTATTTTTCCCAATGAAAGGTTTTTCCTCCCCGTGTTCCTACAAATAGAGGAGTCATTGTCTTCTGAGCTACTTGTTCAGAGCAAATTGGGTTTTTTTCTACAACACAAAAAGCAACTATACACATGGACATCTCAAGATGGAATACATGATATCAAATTGACTATGTCTATGCAAAGAGATTATCTAGAAGCTCATTAGCAGCTAAAACCACACCAGGGGGCCAACAGTGGAACAGACCATCAATTGCTCATATTTAAGTTCAGGTTCAAGTTAAGAAAATCGAAACAAACCCACAAGAGCCAAAATATGACCTTGAGTATATCCCATCCAAAGTTTGAGAACATTTCAAAATCAGATTTGCTGCATTGAACAATAATAACAGGAGATCTGAAGAGCTGTGGGCTGATATCAAGAACATTCTATAGGAAGAAAGCAAAATGTCATTAAAAAGACAAGAAAAAAAGGAATGATGAAAGGAGACAGCAAAAGAGATTCTAAAATTTGGTCCTAATCATAGAGTAGCTGAGACAAATTAAATAAATGATGAGGTAAAATAGCTGAACAGAAATTGTCAAAGGGCAGCTGGAGAAGATAAAATAATATATTATAATAAAATGTGCAATGACGTGAAGTTAGAAATCCAAATGGAAGGACACAGCACATCAGAAACTAAAAGAGCTCAAGATGAAATTCAAGCCTTGAGTTGCAATATTGAAAGATTCTATGGGTAAAACATTGAATGAGGCAGGAAGTATCAAAAGAAGATGGAATAATACATGGAGCCACTATACCAAAGAGAACTGGTGAACAGTCAATCATTTCAAAGGGTATCATATGCACAAGAACTAATAATCCTGAAGGAAGAAGTCCAAGCTGCACTGAAGAAATTAACCAAAAACATGGCTCCAGGTAGTGATGAGCTATCAACTGAAATGTTTCAACAAATTGATGAAGCACTGGAAGCACTCACTTGTCTATGCCAGAAAATTTCAAAATCAGCTACTTGGTCTACTGACTGGAAGAGATTTATATCTGTACCCCTTCCAAAGAAACGTATCCCAACAGAAAGCACAGATTATAAAACAATATCATTAATATTACATACAAGTAAAATTTTGCTGAAGACCATCCAACAAGAGTTGCAGCAGTACATTGACAGGGAGCTACCTTAGATTTAGACAGGATTCAAAAGAGGACATGGAACAAAGGATATCAAGGCTGAAATAAGATGGATTTTGTCTGGAAACAGAGAATACCAGAAAGATGTTTACTTGTGTTTTCTTGGCTGTGCTAAGGTCTTCGACTGTGGGGATAGCCTTGAGAAGAATGGGAATTCCAGAACACTTCATTGTGCTCGTGCTAAATATGTACATGAATCAGTTGTGGGAACAGAACAAGGTTTAAAACCAAGATAGGTGCGTATCCTCTCGCCATACTTGTCCAATCTGTATGCTGAGCAAATAATCATAGAAGCTGGATTACATGAAGAAGAATCTGGCATCAGGATTGGAGGGAGACTTATTTACAATTTATGATATGCAGATGACACAACTTATTTGCTGAAAGGAAGGAAGGACTTGAAATATCTGCAGATGAAGACCAAGGATTACAGCCTTCAGTATGGATTACAATTCAATGTGGAAAAAAAAAGTTCAAAACTGGACCAATGATCAAAAAACTGAAATTGTCAAGGAGTTTGTCTTGCTTGGATCCACAATCAATGCTCACGGAAGCAGCAGTCAAGAGATCAAACAATGCATTGCATTGAGCAAATCTGCTGCACAGACTTCTTTAAAGTATTTAAAAGCAAGGAGGTTACTTTGAGGACTCAGGTGTGCCTGACCCAAGCCATCGTATTTTCAAGCACTTCCCATGTATGTGAAACTTGGACAATGAATAAGGAAGTCAGAAGAAGAGCCCAAGTATTTGAATGATGGTGATGGCAAAGCATACTGAAAGTACCATGAACTGCCAAAAGATCAAATAAAGCTGTCTTGGAACGATTATAGCCAGAAGGATCCTTAGAAGCAAGAATAGACTTTGTCTCATGTACTTTGGACCTGTTATCAGGAGAGACCAGTCCCTGAAAAAGGATAGCTTTGGTAGAAGAGACACTCTGACAGTGGCTGCAACAATGGACTCGGGCATTAATAAATGTGAGATTGGAGTAGACCAGATGCCCCAAAGTGGTAAAATGGATAAAAAATTTTTAAAAAGCCTATGGTTCCTACACACAATGGAATACTATGCATCCCTAAAAAATAGTGGCGAAAGCATGAAATACCGCATGACATGGAAGGACCAGGAAATTATTATGCTGAGAGAAGTAAGTCAATCCCAAAAGGACAAGTATTGTATGAGTGTACTACTATAAGAAAAACACCAACTTAACAAATCTTAGGAACCGATTCCCGAACAAAAGGAGAGGCTACCTACCGGCCATGAGCTACACATCATCTAACCCTTTTATGCACGTCCCAAGAGCCAACATGAAGGAGGTAAACCTCACATTGTCTGAGGTCACTCCTTCAGAAGGGGGAATTGGAAGGTGACCATCCACTTGAGGCTATACAACATCGTCACAAAGCTGGGGCAAACCAGTGGGTCCCAAAGAGGAAAGGAAGGAGCTTTCCAGAAATTCAAGCCAGGACCAGGAGCGGGGACCACCTACATTGTGGAGGAGATGCTGGTAGTTCTGTTGGTGAGTATGGTGGGTGGTTGGGGAGAACTAACCACATAGCGGGAAGGGATGCTAAACAATGAGTGCAGGGAACCGAAGGGGACAGTGGACCAGATCTTAGATACCTGGATAGACACAACGGATTCATTTCTACCCGACCTGAGGTGAACCACACCACGGACTGAACACCAGGATGATCACAGAAGCTGGTCTGGCAGGCAGCAGGGCACAACACGGGGCTACTCCAGAAGGACTTAGCAATCAGGCCCTGGTGAATGAACTGAACCCTGCCTCGAAGCTTCCTGCATTCTTGGACTGAGGACTGGGGTACTTGGATAGGAGAGGAAGCAGAGAGTGGCCACCGCAGGATTGTGGAAATGGTGGTCATTGGACCTTTGTGGGGAACCGCTGGCTCAGAAGGTGTCCAATGTCCAAAGGGACCCAGGATTACCATACATGTAGTATCTCAATGCCCATCCTACAGGGGCATGACAGGTTGGGACCCGCTGAGCAGGGATCTACACTCGGAAGAATTGGCCCAGGGAGGCCCCCACTGGCATCAGTTCCCATATTTAGGGTAAACTGAGCCCCATCGAATGAGAGATTAAACTGTGTAGGACAAAAATGCCTGGGTTGAACTGTACTTACATAGATTCCTCCGACAACAGTGTCTGGAGGGCTGGGTCAATGTGAAAATTGATGATGATAATACATAGTGCAATCAACTTTGCTTATATAGGGGTTGCTTTCCTGCTTGCAGGTTATGTTTGTTTTTTCTTTTTCTTTTGGGGGGTGTGTGTTCTGTTTATTTGGTTGCTCACTGGCTTACGGCTGCTAATGATGCAACTGATATTATAGGGTTGCGATGTTTGTCTTATTACCACCGCCATAGTAAACCTGAGAGACAGGCAAACCCATGGACAAGCAGATGAGGAGTCTGGACTTGTGACAAACAGAAAAGTTATTCCCCAGGTTGTCCCCCATAATATATGCCAAACCTAAGGTGCTGTTGGCACACACATGGTCACTGACTATACACTTGGAGGTCAACTGCTTAAAGGTTACCTGCCTGAAGGTTGTCAGCCATCTAGAGCAATCAGACCTTATAGTCTGCCCCACCCTGAGGAGCGCCCACTCCTTTCTGATAAGTATAATTGACTGTTCCCCTGAAGGGGAGCCCAAAGACACCCACGGTTAAACCAACTCAGGGACGACCAAGGTTAAGCTGCCATCTTGACTCTAGAGCCCGCCTATCTTATTACATGTACGCCTTCCTGTCACATGTATGACTATTGTATAACCCCTTCTGTGACACCTGTGGTTACCTGTAATTAGACCTGACCTGAATTGGTTCTGGGGTGCAAGTACCTACCTCTTCTTGTTCCATGACAGAATTTCTTCTCTGGCTTTTTGAATGCTGATGAGGGTCTTTTCTTTCTTATTCATTACTTGTATTTTGGTCTTCATATTATTATTATCTTACCCTTACTCCTTAGCACGATCATGTTTTTTATTGCTTCTGTTGGGTTTCCCAGTTTGTGATGCACAGGAGTAGATGCATAGTGATAATAACTAATACAAGGGTTGATAGGGAATGCAAGGGTTGGGAGTGGGTGACAGGGAAGGAAAGGGTAATTCAGGAATAAAAAATAGAGGTGGGAGGAAGGAAGGAGCACTAGAACTGATTGCACAACCCATTTTAAAGCCAATTTAACCATGGGCAGGGGAAATGTTCAAAATTTTATATGGTAATGATTGTACAATTCTCCTTGATATGACTGAATGATTGAATTTATGATATGTGCCAATAAAACTGTTATAAAACCATTGTAAGGCTGATGCTGGACACGGTGGTGTCTCGCTTTGTTGTACATAGGGGCACTGTGACTAGGATCCGACTTAACAGCAACTAACAACAATGAACTTAAATATTTACTGATTTTTAGCTATAACACCTGTTTTAAAATTTCGTAGCTCATAGAACCCTATTTCCTTTTACTCCAGAACCATATCCAAAACCAGTTATCAGAAAACCCAAGCTCCCTGCCATCGCGTCACATCTGACATAATGGCCCTACATAGGTTTTCTGAAGCTGTAAGTTCCTTCTCCATGGTGGATTTGCGGAAACCCTCAGCTTTGCATAACCCACAGGGCCACCAGGGCCCCTGAAAGTCACCAGAAGGGTGTAGAAATCATAAGCCCGAGTTGAAAGTAGAATAGTCATCTAAATATGTTTTAGTGGGTTTTGAGATCTCCTCAGGGTGTTTTGTTTCGAGAGTTACACTTTTATGAACACAAGAACAAATATTTGCTGTAGATTGGCTAGAAAGCAAGGACATTTGAACTGAAATTACAACTCTACCCAAAAGAATACAAAATACTATTATTTTTATTTAAATAATTTTAATATCGTGATTTTAGTATTAAAACAGCATTATCTGCATTAATCATTTGGAACCTCTGAAAGTTCAAACTGAATTAGAGTGACTTAGTCATCGCTCATGATTGGGTGGCTTGGTCCACACGAAATAAGTGAAAAAGATGCTTTATTTTGACTGGAATTCTGTTTGTGACAGAATAGAGCTCTCTGTAAAGGGCCTGCCAGGAGGGGGCTGGGCACTGACCAGGTGGCTGCACAAGCAACCAGCACACACCCAATTCTGCAGAGCTGTATATTTCATTGGAAATCAGACTTCATAAAAATTTCTCTCTTCGAAAAATGACCCAAACTGCAAGATGTTAAAGAGACCAGTGAAAGGGGGTAGCGCCTGCTCCGGAAATGCTTGATGCACTATGGGCACACCAGGAGGCTCGAAGGCTCGGCACCCACACACACGCGGGAAAACCAGAACGAGGGTACCACGAGCCGGAAGGGGAGATCCTCCACGCCAGGGCGCGCTGGGGCCTCCCGCGCGCAGGGGACTCGCGTGGCCTGGAGCTGCTCGGGAGCCGGCCGGGGACCGTGCTCAGCAGGGGTCGGAGCGGCGCCCACTGGGCAGGGGGCCTAGAGCCAGGGGATACTCCTCCGGGGTCCCGACCGCGCCCGACTGACCTGTGACGCTGGCCTGCGTGACGCGCTGCA